AAAAAATAATAAATTTTTAATAAATATATTATGTAATATATTAAATTGAAATATGTACTAATCAATATTTTAATTGAAATCATTGGATGGATTACCAGTATATGCTGGTGAAAACTAATTGTTCAGTCAGTTTTTTCGAGTATTAATGTTATCCAAATAAATAAATAAATAATAAGTAATGCATGTTGAAACATGGGAAGGCGTCATGTATAGGTTTTTGGGTCCTTCCCTGTGTCGTCTGAGTGAAAAGTCATGTGGTTTTTATACGTATATGAAGAAGAGGCCAATACGTACCCAAAAGGTAGTGATGTTGACGAGTTCCAAGGCTTTCGTAATAGTATGTGTGCATCTATGAATAATAAATACATATAAATTAGAGGAAGAAAGAGAGAACCGTGGAAATCTAAGTTGAATGCTTTGCCACAAGATGAGGAATGGATCGAAATGCCAAAGAAAAAACAAAGGATGCGCATTGTCTGCCTATAAAGCAATACCACTAAAACCTACAAAAGCTTGTGAATATTTATCCCCCACCAACCATGTGTTTCAGACGCTAGATTTGTGTTTTAAGCTCCTTCACTCGGTGGTGGTTATTGTCAAAAAAAATTTTTTTTGAAGGTTACATAATTTTGATTAATATTTTAATAATTTGTAATAATTTTTAAAATAATTAATTGGTTATGATATTTAAACATATTTATTTATAATTTCAATTTTAATATATTAAATAAAAAATATTAATTCTTCTATCAATCAACTGTTCTTAATTATTAAATTTATGGTAAAACATTCGTCAAAATTATATAACCATAATCCCATCACTTAATTATTTCCTTTTAACTCTTACTACTATATTTTACTATATTTTCAAGGGTTTAACAAAAACACTATAAAATCTCATGTATTTTACAGGTTCTTATGGATATGGCCAATTTTATATCTCATAGATGGACATGATTTTCTAGCAGCTGATGAAGGTTTCAAGTTGGGATTTTCAAACAGATGAACAAGGCCGGGTTTTGAAAAGGGGATGAACTCTTCAGCATTAAATAAAAAAAATAAACATTTCATTGAAAAAATATTTTATTAAAATAATGATTTTAAAATATTTTTTCTTTTAATTTTTTTGGGAGGTGTAGTTGATAATTATGTACCAATCTCTTGAAAAGAATACTACTCTTTAGTATATAATACAAATATACATATGGAATGTCTTCCTCGGCGAAAAACAATAAAAAAAGAAAAAGAAAAAAGAGGAAGGAACCTATGTGCACGATCAACTGATATATCACCACCATCAGATTTTGGCACACGGCTAATTAAGATGCTGTGTAATAACATTTATAATTTCTTTTACAACATATGGATTATATAAGATGATATAGTTTATTTTAATTAATATAAAATATTATTTTAACAAAAAAACCATTGTGCACATAATATAGCATTACCCTTGTATGTTATGTATGTAAAAGTTGTATATAAATTAATCTTAATTTTTATAAAATATATATTTAAATAGGATATGGAAATTAAGAATTAATTAATTTTTAGTTAATTAAATTCATTAACATGTGAGGAATATACTTAAATCTAAACAATTTTATAGCCATGGGAGATGACAACTGGGTGAATGAATTCGATCGTAGTTGACTCATCATCAACATTAAATTAAATTAAATTTATGACGTAGGGAATCGAGACTAATCACTCCAAAGAATACCATCAATTAGTACTACTGTTATTACTACCATCCCTACTGTATTATTCTTACTTGGTCGAATAAGCAGGAATTCATATGTACCATGCCATGCTACTACTGTTTTATTTTTCTTGTCGCCAATAATCACAAATCATCTACTATATTCCCGATTAGATATTTGCAATCAATAATTTATTGTACATGGTCCGACACCAAGTGACTTACTGACCATCCAATGAAGGATAATACCTAGACATTCATGTTTTGGATTCTAACCCATGCAACTACCTTTTTTTTTTAATTTTTCAGTGTCACAAAAAAGAAAAAAAATTATTGTACATAGCTTGCCTCTAGGCTCTAGGCATATATAAAGGCAATGGATAGAGATGCAAAAATTTGCCTGGTGGGGAAATCAATAGACTTTTGCTTAAAAACATATTGACCACTTAAAATGGTCTTTGATGTGTGTGTGTCTCCTTCTTTTAGCCCATGCAACCACAAAAGGTTACAAACTAAAAGTATTCATTCGTTGATAGTGTTTGACTTTCTTACATTTAGAATATTGAGTGTAATGGCAAAATGGCAAAGGGATGGCTAGAGTTTCAATAGCCATTAGAATCATATCCATACCGCAAATTTTTTTAAAAATATATATATATATATATACACACACTAATTATTTTCATATAAAATTATAATACGATTGTGAGCAAAAAATTATCTTATTATCACATCAAGAAATATTCATAGAACAATACAAAAGGCTTGCATTTTTGGATTACTATTGGACAGTTGTGACAAGGAGTTCAATATTCCCTTTGTGCTTGGGGTATAAATTTTAAAAAGGATGAGTTGAAATTTACAAAGGAATAATTAGAAAGCAAAAACATGTTTCCCATGGACGATTATTCTCAATCAACTTATTATCAATATCATTACTACTACAGGGGAAATTCATTAATTTGTTTTATCTAGATTAGTAGTATAAATATATAAAGGGTTAGTACTTGTTAGTATAAATATATAAAGGGTTAGTACTTGTCTGCCTTATCTTTAAAAAATTAAGAGAAAAAAAATACAAAAATCACCTTAATGCATGCTTTAAAAATATGGTAGTTTTTAAAAATATGGTAGTTTAGTCTTTTTCAATAAAAATTTATTGAAACAACATAATTTTGGAATGATTTTCCTCATAATCTTTAGAAGTTAAGGCTGATAGTCACTTTTTCCAATATATAATTCCATTAGTAAGTCAATATATATTCATTTTTGCTACCGAAAGTTGTAGCTGTATTTTATTATCTAAGATTATATATTCTTCTACTACTTGGTTATTCTAGTATTTTCTAGAGAAATGTTTAATTTTCACAGCCTTCAAAAGTATCAATATAATCAAGAAAGATTATAATTCTCTAAAGGACGATATAATAATTAAGAGCTTAAATTTCATGTTAAAAATTATAAATTTAAATATTAAAATGGGTGTAGAAAGGCTCAGGAAGAAAAAAAAAATTTTTTTTGTTATATAACTCATTATATGATTTATCAAAAAAATAATAATCACTAAAGATTGATCAAACATTAATCCAACATTTAACTGCCTCAGCATTAATTAGATTGAGGCAATGCTTTGACATTTAAAATCCCATGTGAATTGAACCTGGCCAGGTTTTAAAACTAATTCTTGTTTAGAGAAAATGTTAAATAATCTTCTATAAATATTAGAGATGCTTCTTCTAAAATTAATAAAAACTTCTCAAATCTACTTTTAAAAAATATCCTTATTTCTCTTAAAAAAATAAAAATCAAGATATTTTGGTATTTAAAATATTAAGATTTTTTTA